GGTGGACACTAGAGAGAATGCAGCTTTAACACATGAAGCATCGGTTTCAATTTTGTTGCCTCCAGATTTACATTTTTTAATAAACTATAAAGATAAATATACTTTCTCCTCCTGGTGTCTCACCTTTGCAGCGTAGCTCCACATGTCGATGCGGTCCTGAAGTCTCTTCTTGCACTCCGGCTGCAGACGAACTCTCTTGTCCTGTAACGCCTCCATCAGACACGACATCTCTGGACGGAGAGAGGGAGCAACGAGTTCAAACACGCACACACACACACACACACACACACACACACACACACACACACACACACAGATCTAAATGTGCTGTGTGAGAGCACCCACGTCGTCCTCTGCCGGGTGTGATGGCGGCACAGTGGTGTTTGAGGTCCAGAGCGCACGCCGTGTGGAGGACCGGGTCAACGAAGATGTCCGCCTTACTCTCCTTCAGCATGTTCAGGACTTCCTGCAACAAAGACGTGAGGAAGACGGCTCAGTTTTCTGCACCCAAACTGTTTAAAAGAGAAAGAATAGTCATCCATCTTTACAAGCTTGTTTTCTAAAGCAAACCACTGTCTTGTTCGTTAATTAATGCATTTATCCTACAGTCTACGGACACCTGAACACACCACCAGGAGGAGGAGTTTTATTATTACAATGAAAAATCAACAAACTCTAAAGATTACATGTTAACTCACTGAACTAGTTGTTCATAGGAGTCCTTTCATTGTGAACTATCCAGATCAAATGATCATCGATACTTCTGGGACTAATAATCCTAAATGAGTTCACTGGACACAAAGATGGATCATATTTTGACCTTTTTACAGGCTTCATGTTTGATCTTCAGCAGGTTGACTTTCAGACACTCCTCAACCTGACCGGTCTGCTCCTGAGCTGCTGCCTCCTCCGCACACAACCTGGAGATCTGCAGGAGGAGACGACGAGGAGGAGGGAGGAGAGGGGAGAGGAAACAGGTGAGGAGAGAGGAAACGGGTAGGGAGAGGAGAGGAGGAGGAGAAGAACCAAGTGAGGAGAGAGGAAATAGGTGAGGAGAGGAGATGAAACGGGAGAGGAGAGGAAAAAAGAAACAGGATAGGAAAAGAGAGGAAAGAGGAAATGGGTGAGGAAACAAGAGAAGAAACAAGTTGAAGAAACAAGAGAATGGAGGGAATGAGAGAAGAGGAGGAGAGGAAACGAGAGAAATAAATCCACAATAAATCATAAGTTTATTAAAAGGTAAAGTCTGCAGAAAATGAATGTAAGTCAATGTAATGTCCTCTAAAGTGATGGAAACGTGCGTGTGTGTGTGTGTGTGTGTGTGTGTGTGTGTGTGTGTGTGTGTGTG